GCTAATTTAGGGAATGATCGTGGGTTCATAATCAGAAAATACTATCTCCATCGGGGTGAGGCCTTTTGGGAAGCGCAAAACAAAGCGATGAGAGCTTATGTTCAAAGTGGACAATATCATACCATTGAGGAGAGTCGTGTTCGTCTAACATGGTATCAGAGCCACGCCCTAAACTTAACCATGTCAATAGAATTCTCAAATGTCTAACAAAGAACACCAAAAGAAAAAAGAAAAAGAAAAGAAGTCGAGGGGAAGTGTTGGATGAAAGTCCAACTCGGCGAATTTAGGGAACGATCATGGGTCCATTGAGGTGAACTCAAAGTGGACAATATCTTCCTAATGGTATGATATTAAGTGCTTTCTTACCAATACTGCAAAAATAAATGGAGAATTACCAAGTTTTAGGAACCATCCATCTCTACACTGATATGATACTATCTAGTTTGAGATTAAGTACTTTCTGCTTGTTGTCCTATGAGATTATTCCTTGCTTATAGATTCATGATCATTCTCTTAACAATTTTACACACGGAGAATAGCTCCCAGAATAGCTGTCAAATGTTGTTTGAAGTCAACGGGAATAAATGCCCGCGGCGGAGATGCGAAAAACCAGTCACGATGTTTCGGCATCGAAATCGAGAGACCCACGACGGCAATTAGCTCTGCTGCACATAAGTCAATAGTAATTAAAATATACTATTACTCGAGAGGTAGAAGGTTTTATTTCATCCATGACTATATGTTTTAAGTTACAGTTACTTTTAGAAAAAGGAAAAAGAAATACAAAAATTCACAACTCAATTAGTAGTAAATATTTTTAATCTAAAATTCTTTTTATATAATAAACCCAATCTAAATAGGTCATAAAAATTTTAGGTTAAATTAGTTCATTTCGTTTACTCAAAATTTTAATAAAATATTAACATTATTTATTTATTTTTGAAAATTTAATTAACCAATTCAATTTTAATACATATTTTAAAAAATTGGAGGAGAATAAATAAATAAAATTATGAAACTAAATAAAACAATAAATATATACCTACAAGTAAAAATGTATCTTTTAAGATTAACCATAATCGGGTGGATTAAGTTTCATTAATCCTAAAAAAAAATCATAAACTAGCTAAATCTAGAAAATTTTCATTTATTTGAAGATAATCCAAACAAAAATCTAGCTCGTAATTAAACATGGAAGCGAGAATGAATTTATTCTCTTTGAATTCCCAAGCATGACATAATTAGTTCATAATTCATGGTTTTACCCATCACATTCCATATTAAGTTTTCCATCTCTATATAAATCATTCCCTCATTCTCAATCTTCATCTCATCTCTCATCGGAATTATGTGGACTCAAACCCTTCGGATCATGGCCGCTTTCATGGTCACTTTCATTTTCCTCCTCGCCCTAACCAAAGCTCAAAACGCCCCCGGTGACTACCTCGTGCTTCACAACCGAGCTCGAGCCGAGGTCGGCGTCGGGCCCATGCAATGGAGCAACACCGTGGCCGCGTACGCTCAAGCCTATGCGGAAAAAAGAAAGGGTGACTGCGCCATGATTCACTCAACCGGGCCGTACGGGGAAAACATAGCCGCGGGCTACTACCCTGAGTTCACCGGGGCGGATGCAGTGAAGCTGTGGGCGAACGAGAAGCCGCTGTATGATCATGCATCGAATAAATGCGTGGGTGGTGAATGTGGGCACTACACTCAGATGGTGTGGCGGAGCTCGGTGCGGCTTGGATGTGCTAGAGTGCCTTGCAAGGCTAATTCTCAGTTTGTTGTTTGCAATTATGATCCTCCTAGTAACTAGATTGGGGAAAAGCCTTATGGTTCTTCTTTGTATATTGGGGAATCTCCACAATAATATGATATTGTATACTTTTCTCCCCTAAATGGAGAATGAATGCAATCATGAATTTCTACAATTTTATGATATTGTCTACTTTTCTACCCAAAATTGCAAAAATAAATGGAGAAAATTAACGAGTTTTAGAAATCATATCTTCACAATGGTATGATATTGTCCTCTTTTCTATCCAAAATTGCATAAATAAATGGAGAATTACCGAGATTTAGAAATC